GCATGATATCCTTCTCCAGAGAATGGTCCCTTCTGACATGAGCAAAGTAGGTGAGACAAAGTCTGGCCATTCTTGCTTCTAAAGAGCATTCCAGCTGCACTTCTTCTAGGACAGATTTGTTAGTTCTTTTAGCAGTCCATTGTACTGTCAGTATTCTTTGCCAACACCACAACTCAAAATCTTCTTCAGTCTTCATTATTCATTGTCCAGCTTTCACATGCATATGACAAACAAAGTCACCAGTTGCTGTTGACTTATGGTGACCTCATGTGTCTCAGAACATGAGAACTTCACTCCATAGGATTTTCAGTGGCTGTCATCTTTCAGAAGAGGGCTGCCAGGGACTTCTTCTGAGATGCTTCGGGGTGGATTCAAACTGCCAACCTTTTGGTTAATAGCTCAGTACTTAACTATGTGCATTACTCAGGGACTTTAAAACCAGCAAAAAAAATTATGTTTATCGATACATTCACATTCTAAACTTACTAGTTAACATTTAATAATGTATTCTAATTATCACATAGGAAATCCAAGGCCTCAGACTCGCTAACAGAGAAATTGTGTTGTTGTTGTTAGGTACTGTCGTGTCAGCTCTGAATCATACCGACCCTGTGTACGACAGAACCAAACACTGCCCTTTCCCGCCCCATCCTCACAATCTTTGCTATGCCTGAACCTATCATTGTTTAATTAATTGATAAATTACTGATTAATAAATGAGAAGGTGATTATCCATACTATAATTTATTTTTTAACTTCATGAAGAGTTTTATACCACAGACATCTTATAAAGATTAAATACTCCTCAAACCAAAACCAAAACCAAACTCACAGTGCACAGCAACCCCCACTGGGTTTGCAAGGCTATAAATCTTTATGGAAGCAGACTGCCTTATCTTTCTTCCATGGAGTGGGTGGTGGGTTCGAACCACAAACCTTTTGGTTAGCAGCCAAAGACCTTAACCACTATACCACCAGAACTCCTTTCAATACTGCTCATGTATTAATAAATATATATAACTAAGTTACATAGAAAATTTTCAGAAACACACCTACTTCACAGAATAGACTGTTTCTGTGTATGCTAGTACACAACTATTACAGGTATATCAAAGGTAATTCATTTGATATTGCATCTTCTATTTTCTTCCTGACTGTTTGAAAGTGAAACTTAAAATAACTTGTAAGAGTCAAATTTAATTTAAAACAAATCCATATCTTAACTTAGCATTTTATGAACACTTAATAAATATTTACACAACAGTAATACCAGCTAATCTATGGCTTTGCATTAAATATAACACTGAATTTTAAGTAAATCCTAGCAGAGGAACCCTAAAATTACTTTGATATTCATGTTTAAATAAAATCTTTAATGTGATTTCAGGAAAGGCCCAGGCTCCAGAATTTACTGTGTAAGCAAATCAATAAGCCCCTGTGGTACTAACTTAC